CAGTATGCGCTGTCGACATTTCTGGAGTCAGTCAATTTTGAACTAAAATGCTGCTCTTCCTAATCACATTTATGTTAGGCTTGCTTTAAGCAATAACCCAAGATCAAATCGGTGGGAGCAGCGGTCGGTACTGAATTCTGGATGACGAGTTGATTGAAAATGAAAAGATTCAGAGCAAACCGTCGTCAACGCCTTTAACAAGTGCTTCCCCTCTTCCTCCTTGAAATAAAGAAGAAATGGGACCAGACAAAACGTACGAGCTTGCTTGCTTCACGGCAGGGTCGGTCCTATCGTTGTTACTTTTTGAAAAATTTTTACGACCCCCCTCCCCCAAGGTGGATTTGATACGACCCCCTTTTCGACACCTCGACCACCATATCCTCTCTATAGTACTTTAATTCTGATACCACTCAACCCACCAAACTCCGCCCACTTTTTCCTCCAAAAATGCCGTCGAGCGGGGGTATATAGTCACTCTGAAACGGTAAATATCTCCGAAAATTTCCTTCTATTTCCACCATTTCAACCCATTTTTTACCTATACTCCCACTACTTCCTTTTCTAGGGGGTATATACGCCCGCTGAAACGGCAAATTTTTATCCTGCGCGCCCTCCACTCGCCCAGCCTACTACCCACGAAATCTTAGTTTCACCTCAATCCCACACGTGATTTCGAGCGACTAAAGTGGGTACGACCCCCCTCCAAACTCAACCAAGGTACGACCCCCCGTTGGTACTTGTACCAACGTAGGGTTGACCCTGCTCCAGCGAACTTCACCGCGCGTATCAATTGGTGAGCATCAGCAAAAAAGGGCAGCCTATAGTGGCCAGTTACCGCATTTCACGAAGTAACTTAATGTTGGACTCTTTCGCGGTGGGACCTAATACTGCACTAGCCTGAACTGGTTCGTCAATAACTCGTTGGGCTGTGTCTGCAAGAAGTTAAACATTTGCTGGATGATATGATAGGCATAGCTTTTTTCCTCGACTGATCGTCACTGGATTATTGCAGAATAATGCTTTGGGCTACGTTGCTCTTAACCGGCGTTATGCTCCTACGAGCAAAAAGACCAACTTCCATCAAAAAGGACGTTCTTCCTCTTGGTCGAAGAACAACTGTAGGTGAGAGAGGATATTTCCAAAATTTCGTCAGTTATTGGGGCTTTCATCTGGAAAAGTCGGCCTACAATTACCAATTGACTTTAACTTTCAAAAAATGCTGATGTTTCAGAAGAGGAACAATGGCGATTACAAGCTATCCAAAAATTATGGGAGGAGAGGGAAAGAATGAGTCACACGCCATTAGTTAAATTTCAGGTATAACAATACCACATGCTACTAAAGATTATGAGTGTCAACAAATCTAATTTCAGCCGAAAGGGTTCCCAAATGCTGACATATTTTTCAAAAATGAAACTGCATCAAAAACCCGTACGCTGAAGCACCGATTCGTATGGGCCCTGCTCATGTGGGCCATAGTTGATGGAAAGGTAAGTTCATCAAAGGCATGCCCCAGGATCACACTGGTGTGGCTCTTGCACACGAATGTGAATGTATTGGTGCGAAGTGGGCCGGCAGTGAAGAAAAAAGGAAAAGAATCCGTCGAAAACGCTCAGGTTGAGGGCTCACTCACCTTCCTAATCGGCTGTGCTAAGGGAATGAGAGACTAAGCGCGAGGAGAGTATGATGGCGAGAGAGCGCATCAGATGAGAGAGCACCAGACAACAGCCTGAATAAGAGAAAAATATTGCAACTGCTCCAGCTAATCTTGCAAGGCCCTAGCGATCTTGTCGATCAGTTTTCGTGTACGGAAATGCCAGATTCTGGGTGGTGTATCCTTTAGGGCTCTGTACTAGGAGTTCAAAGGAATCGTTCACATGACTTTCGCCTGGGTAGCGCCTTAAACGGTAAGAATGCTGGGGTAAGGGCAAATGGACCAACATAAGCCAAAATGAAAAGGCTACCAGGTCATGGTTGCCCCCTAAGGTGCTCTCTGCAGGTTTTTTTTATATTTCATGCGTCGTCACAGGTTTTCATGAGGGACATTGGTTCTGTACAACGGAATATCACATTCGGCGTTCGTTTTTGGTTGTTTGTTCGCGTTTTCCTTAGCTGTTTATTTAAGGTAAACAGTAAATCGATGGTGTATGACTCAACGTCTGGAAACACCGGAGCCAGTGAAGCGTATATGTGCAATTTAGTTGGGCTACAGTACACCGCTGTCGTGAGTTCTTCTGTGATTCATGCTTGAGCGTGCTTTATAAAATTTATGCCATAAATGCCAATGTTGCTGGCTCCTTTGTGCTCAACAGGTTTTTTTTTATTAAGGTGAAGTCTCATTAACGCGAGCCTTGCAACCTATCAATGTCTTCAAAGACATTTCGAATACCTTTACTTTCACACACCTACCTGCTTTAACCAAACTGTTCCAAGGTAGTCAAAGATCAGACCAAAATGTTTAAGAGCAAATATATTAGCGCGTTCCCTCGCCTAGTTTTGCGCACTGCCATTCGGTGCCTAAAGCAGAAAGTGATAATGACCGATCATGCACTACTACGGTTTACGGGTTACTTGAACTTTCTTTATGTCTGAGGACAAAATGGTGGGAGGGCACAGGCGATTTTTCCGAGATCATATACTTGGCTCGGCTTCCAATTCCTAGGACGAAAGGTGAAGGTTTGCGACTAACGCATTGTGAGAGGGGCAGGGACTTCTGGGGTGGGTGGTCCATTTAGGGGGTGCAAAATGTTGAATGTAATAGAGGTCTGTGTAGTCATAAGCCCCTGTTTAGACAGAGAGGCAGGAGGAGCACCAAGCAGGCCGGTCTTAAAGAACCACTTCAACTAATCTGTTGACCGCACTGCTACCATGGCGCCTATGTGTAGTGTGCCACGTGACGCGAATTTCTCGTGAATGTGGTAGTTACTCTTTCTGACATGCCGCGATTGTGAAAGACATGAGCGCTTGGCAGAGTTTCATCTTATTCCATTTCAAATTGCTAATTCTGTGTCAATGAATATCTTGTGTGACTAAATGCAATCGGGTAACTCTCTATTGCATTTTATAAGTGGCTTTTCTCGCTGTACTTGTCGAGTAGAATAGAGGCGTTGATGGCGCCAACCTACTGTTAGAACTTTCCTGTATGTTTAATGATCCGGCCCATAGGGATCATCTTGTGTAAACATCTAGCCTCTGGTCATGACCCGAAATGAACAAACTCCGTCAACTCACTAATCGATTTATCCTGAATACACAATAGCACTGGAACGAGATCTCTCGGAGAAATAATGCACATGTTCAGCGATACAACAATACACAGTAATAAGTAGGGGGAACATCCCAGATCAGCAGCGGGGTTCGGGATCGACCAATCGACGAGGGTCGACGGGGCATGGCGCATCCCCGGTTCGAACGGTAGGTGGAGTAGGAAGCCGGAATCGTGACGTCAGGCGAATCCGTCTGTCCTCGATCGTCGAGGTCGAGCCAAGAGCCTTTGAATCGTCCCGTCCCGGCTTTTATTCGGGTCCCATCGCTATCTCCGCTCAGGATCGCCTAGAAATGAAGAAGCCGAAGGACAAAGCCCTCTGACAACAAAAACAATCTTGAGGGTCGACAAGACATACCGATTGTATGAGTCAGGGTTGGGCACGCTCCATCGCTCCGTGTTGGCCTGAAATACTTGAAATTATATGATTGAATTAACAGCTTAATGTTTTCCCCTTCCATCCTTTACACCTATTCTACAGTGGCTTTTCTCTGCTGAACTTCGATCAGCCCTTGTAGATTTCAACCGCATTTCACTGTATGTTGACCTGCGTCACTGACCTCCGGTAAAACGATTTTGTCAAGTCCAAGCGTCAACAGTACCCGTGCACGGTTTGGACCGGATTAATAGAGATATGGTGCTCATTTCTGAAGCAATGATTCTAACCAGTTTAGTGGTACCCTCGCCTTCAAATGACCAGAAATTGTGCAATTGCAGAAATTGACGTGGCATTAACGTGGCATCGATTCAAGAACATCTTTGAGCACACGTGATGTCACCTTTTCATCGAGAATTTAGCCACGTGTGCCAATGCCACGTCAATTTCTGCAATTGCACAATTTCTGGTCATTTGAAGGCGAGGGTATCTACCTCGTATACCAAAAATACCCCACAAGTCTTACAAAATGTGTATCTGGCAGTGGCAAACAACTCGAGCAAGGAGACTAATCGACAGCAAATCATAGTCGATGGGCGGGCAAAATTCGAAGCAGGGTTACGACAATCACCCCTGTCTACCCTAATCTGCACGAACTTTAAATAGTCGCGGGAGTGTGGCAAAATATCGAGTTTGTATTAGTACATTGCTATCGGCATCGATTTGCAGCGTAGATTTATCAAAGCGGCATACTATGCTTGATCACTAGGCGAGGAAGAAGAACGGCTTTTTATCAATCAAGTTGAGGTAAGACAGCGCGCTGAGGATTTCACGAAAGTGTGTGGTACTGGTAAAATAGGATAAGCACTACTAATCCTTCGCACCCCTCAAAAACTGAACCGCGCTAATGCAAAATTGTCTTTGACTAGGGCTTTGGCTTCGAACTGCGTATGAGTATTACATCAATATTGGCGGCTAGTACAACTCAGTTTTGGCACCGCCGCCCGTCGCAACAGGCGACAAGATCAGCCAAGATCATGTTGATATTAATATTCTACGGGTATTATTGCAGACCCAAAGAAGTCTGGTCCAACGTTTAGGGGATGAAGAACTTCGCTGGCGCCATTTGGCGTTGGCACTTGTGGGGCGGGCGTCAAGCGTTTTGCGCTACAGGAAGGTGATGTTCGCCTTACACCGATCGTACTACCGCCACGGGTAGCTTTCTTGCCAAATCCACAGTCAGAGAGAATTTCAGTAAAAATCTGGCTCTGTTTCGAGAAGGCAATGCAGTAATGGGTAAATAAAGCGAAAAAACGAGCAGTTTTTGACGTCGTGTTGGATATTATTCGCTACAGAATGCCAAGAAACAGGTGAACGGCTATGCACCTAATAATAGCATAGCGTGAGTGGTGCCGTATCACTGCGCCGGTTCGGGAGGTTCGACTCCTAATCCAATTTCGCTTTCCACTCCTCGAATACTTTCGTTGCTTTCATAAGACACTGCTATAAGCCACAATCAGGACATAACTCAGAAAAAATTGTTTTGTTATCTATGCTTTATTCGGAAGAGCGTGCTTTCAGGTGGAAATTACGCTCACGAAAGCATAAATGTGTTTCATGAGATCCTACAACAGTTAAAGGACGACAGAGATCAAGCAAAAAAGGTCCCAGATTATTTTGTTCACAGCGCTGGTACAGGTAACCTCAATATTCAGATGAGAAAATCAAGAAAAAATTCAAACGCATGAGTCACGTGGTCTGATTTGCACGACCATCAACAGATTTCAAGGTACACAGAAAATCACATTTTTAAGGTGGTACATTGACATCGGTTGGTCGTTATGTGAGGAGGTACAACATATCAACGACGATTGTCCTTTCCGACTCCGAATATTCTCTTTTCTACGACTATGTGGTTTCCAACAAGTACGTACTTCATCTATTGCTTCGAGTAATTAGAGGGTAATCTCCACACACTAGCGCGGCAGGCTAGAACGCGGCTGTGTAATTGGTCTTAGTTCAACTTCGTTCAAGCTTTCCTTTGTAAGGCCTACCTTGGTATGACGGGGAGCACAGCGCTAGAAGAGGGAAAACGCGAGAGAGCGTGTCGTACGCGAGAGGATGCAAACGTCCGTGTGCCGCAATTGATAGGATGGCAGCGCCGGCAGCGTATGAGTCCTGAGCAACTATGCCGCACACTTTTGAGGCAATGTCGCGGCTACTGGGCTTGAGGACTCCTCCTTCTCACTCTAGGAGAGCCTACCTCTTGGCACCTAATCTGAACCCGTAGCTTGGAGTCGGTCCAAAATTTCTGAGCAACTTTTTAGCCATGACAAGTTGCGGAAACCTTGAAGGGTTCAAACATGGCTTGCGTTTGGCAAAAACGTATCCGCTTTCGTTCCCTTACTATACTGTACTTGTTTGCCATTAACACATTACGCTCAAGCGTTCTGGAAACATACATCTCCAGATTTACAAACGAATCCGGTACAAAATATTGGAAGAAGCCTGGTGTTGCTGGAATTGGTTACGGTTACGACGAGAAGCCGATTATATACGGAGAAACCACCAGGTAAGAAGCCGAAGAAACAAAAATACTCAGAAGTTGAGAGCATGAGTTAACAACATTTCGCAAATTACATTTTCTACAAGGTTCTAGTGAAATCCAACAGCATGCATGGGTCAAGCGGATATGGATTTCTGGGGCATTTGAATGAGTCTTGTAAGCTTCAAAAAATGGTGGATGATTTTTGACACTCCTCGAATTTCTGCGTTTTGCGCGGTTACCCTTCGTTATCGCTGCATCCAGTCCTTATTAATGCT